GTCGAGTACGGTTACACCTGTTAAAAAGTAGTAGACAACTTGTAATGAGCACCTACGGACAGAGTTATTCTTTACTGTTCACAATACGAATGATTTTTTTTAGGAAAAACAAACGGCGCAATTATCACAACAAAGACGACCACAGCGAGAGCAATATATTTTCGAAGAAAACAAATAAATAATGTAAGGTATAAAAAAATAAAGTGAAAGATACCCCGTCTATTTATAATCCTGTAGATATTTGTGACTTGATTCGTTTCCGTTAATAAAAAATTGGAAGCTTACACTTTGCATAATATTCGATCTCTTATTCCTATCAAGTAATTACTCCCTCTTTTATATGTTGCTAAAATGTCTATACGTTCACACTTCACTTCCAATCGCCCTTAGCGCCTCTCCCTTTCGTTCACCTCGGGTTCCAGTCCTCAATCTTCTTTACGGATTCAGAAAAAGTAATTGAACTTTATCAGACTCAAGAATCATTCAGATGTTATCGAGTTAATCTAAATAAAAAAACCGTTATGATAATCTTAAAGTGTTAATGATACGCTAAAACTAGCTAATTAATTCTTATTGTCTTCTATAAAGTATACGGAAGGTGCGAAATTGATTCCCGGAGCTCTCTGTATATTTTTTTCAAGATTCGAAAATGTCAACTGTGAAAACTCTAGTTCCGGATTTCGGCAGGTCGGTTAGGTACCCACTTGAAAACCGAATTTGTACAATTTCGACGACCGTTACTCAGCACCGGCCTGTTTTCAAGTGCTGTATAAATGTATTTAGGCTGTTCGATTAGGAGTCTAATTTTAAGTATATGTACTCCCCGGCGACGTCGAAAATAATGTCCGTTTTTGAACCGTTAAATTACAGCTTTACAACAAAACATACCACTCGAGTGATGACGCCGGGGATGGTGACATTGCTGCTGTACAGAAATTATTGGCATAAGTCGCGAAACGTGGTTTGTGCTGTAGCAGCTGGTTAGCAATTTGTTTTAACAACGAGATGGTCGTTACGTGTTACTGTGTTGGAAACATAAAAATACATTAATACCGTCCGAAGGTCTGAAATCCGCCGAAGCGTGGAAATTGACAAATTTGGAGGCGTCACTCGCTCAGACTCGTCCGACGCAATATTAAATATTTCTCCGTTTGTTTTGGGTTAATGATTAATACCGTTCATTTGTTTCCCGACGACTAAAATTAAACCGTTAAAATATTTACAAACACACACGAGCTGTTCCCAAATTAGTGGGAATAGTGTACATTTTATTACACAGTCAAAACCGATGTCAACCAAGACGACATAGTCTCGCTGTTTAATTTAATTTTTACATTTAAGAGAATTTTTTTTGCTGTAGAAATTAAAATTATCGTACTTACAGCACGTCTTAAAACTACAATTCGAATTCGTTATTTCTAAAATTAACTCGAATTCAAGACGAATTATTAATATACGACGAAAAAAGCGACCTTATTCACAAATTTTTCACCGAGGTTTTTTAATGAGTTGTGTTAGAAATAATTATCGTGACGTTGATAAACTGACGTGTGCATTTGCTCGAATAACAATTGCTCTCAATCGTACTACGAAATCGTTAAAAAAAAAAAAAAATCGATTATAATTTTCCAAATATATCTCTACGGGTAATATAATATAGACAACGTGCCTAGGTGTTTTTTTGACACGAACCCGCGGTTATTAAAAAAAAAACGTCACTTCTGTGATGTTAAAATATGTCTGTCAAACGTTAACGAACCGTCAGCGGCGATTGCTACGACAGAAAAACAGTGATGTACTATTATATATTATTATTATATCGTACAGCCGTCGAGAATTGATAATGTTCCAGAAAAAAAAAAGGAAACATTAACGACTAATCCTTTCCTCACGTGACGGTCTCCGCCGTCGTTAACACGTTCCCGAGGGAAGAAGATCATCAGAATAGTTGTGAACCAATTACGGTATTTTGTTATAGATTTTTATTATATGCATAGACTAATAATAAATCACGCGGACTTTGCCATAGAAGTTATACATATTGTTATGCCGCAGACTCGGTCGATATAGAATAAATCTATTCAGTATCTCCGACGGTAAATCGAACACGAGCGATAAAAAGTAAAAATAAATTTATACGGTTTACACACGGGGCAAAAGAAGAAAAAAACAATTAAAACAAAAAAATATAGTCATCCGCAAGTCGTTCTATACATAGGTACGTTTCAAACAACCGTGGATCTGGTTTTAGGACTTGGACGTCGTCGCATGCTAACATTAAGATCTTGACAAGTGGGTCAAAATGTCGCTGTGACGGCTAAATTATAATAGATTTTACAACGTTTAATCCAAACCAGCATACATTTACAAATTGAAATTTAGTCGTACTAATTATTTCTAAACGTTTGATGTTTTGTCGAGGTTATGAAAATCTTAATCTTTTTGAATACTCGGAACGAATTATTGAAACATGTGTGTTAATATTCGATATCCTGTCACCTTGTGCGCCTATAGTGTAGGATGTAGGATTTTTTTATATATATATATATAAATTTACATCTTCGACGGCGTTTAATGTAAAATTAACGATCAAAGGTTCGTATGGTAATTATCAATATATGTATGCAACGCAGAGTGTAATATTATGACGAATACCGCCTTATTGAGTGGAGATGATAATACTATTTTAGGTGCAAATCAAAATGGGAGCGATTATTATTCGATTATTGACGTTTGTCGAGAACAGCAAAAGCACTTAAACGGAAAACCTATTAGGGGTTGCGGAACGATAGATAAATTCAATTATATTTTAATTAAGAAACATGAAATGATAATTTCTTAAATAACTCATCGACAGACGTAACAAAAATATAAATGATAACTTTGCAGTACCTACCTATATACATTAGTGTGTAACTAATATTTCTACTACTAGAGCTGATATTATAAAATGAACATTAATTTGACAACCGTCGCAGTGGTAAGCTGAATGAGTGAATAAGATAATGGAAAAATGTACTCCAACAGAGAGTTTTTAAAGTACAATTGAAAAATTGCAATTAATTTAAATAATAATGACGTCAAGAGTACCAAGTGATGAATAGTACTTGAATAATGGCGTTGGAGGGTTTTTGTGTTGTTTATTTCTTAATATGAAGTATCCACGTCTACTTTTACGGGCTAAATTTGATATATAAAAATGATAAAACAATTTATGTAAATTATAGACCGTTGGACTAAAAAACATTCGTCTAGTAATTTGTTTATTTAAACTTCTAAAAATATTCGTGACACGCAAATTTCCTTGTCAAATATATTGTACATAGGTTATTCGATCCTTGGCGATAAATTATAAAAAAAAAAAAACTAAGTAAAAAATCAATCAAAACCGTACACCTGCCACGCTGACTCATCGCCGGTCGTTATGCAAATCGTTCGAGTGAGTTAAACGAAAAAAAAAACAAGTTCAAAGCTAAACGATGCTTTTAACTTGAACAAAAAATAGATTATATTACTGAACATTTTTATTTTTATTTTAATAACATTTTAGGCGTGTAACGCGAATTAGGAGACGGTTGCGTGCGGACGCTAAGAGTTTTCCCAAAGTAAACAACAACAATAATATTTCCCTTTTCGAATTTGGTTAAAATTAATTTTCGGCAAAAACGGAACACTTGTATAATTTCGGACGACTCTGCCGCTCGTTTGTATGTCCATGAATTATGCATGAATCGGTTCGGCATATAGAAAACGGTCGGTAGGGGAAAGAGTTTTTGGAAAAGGCTGGCCGGAAAAAAAAAATGTACACAGCTCGCTTACATTGTCTACATTTTGCCGCCTTTCCCCGTCCAAAAAAACATAAACGGTTCCGCGTTGGTTGGGCTTAAGGTACACTTTGTGTGTTGTAAATGCAAATAAGACTTCGGCAAACGCCTTTGTTGATGACATAAATTAATAAATGTGAATAACCGTCGGATACGTTCCCTTTCAAAAGGTACTCGTCGTGGTCGTTGCTCATTTACAAAAATGGAAATTCCTTTTTAAAACAGATTAGCTGAATTCCTAGTTAAATTTCGTCGCTATAAGATAAATGATGAAATTGTGTTTTTCAAAAATTGTAAATCATTAATTAATAAAAAAAAACTGTCCATAGTTTCTACATTAAAGTCAACAGCTGTTGATATAATATACTAATTAAAAACGGTCGAAGACAATTTAAACTTTATCATCAGCATGTCTGAAAATCAAATTCGTACGGTTACCAATATCTTTATCCTTAACTTGACATTGCATTTTTGAAAATAATATTAGAGTAACACATTACCAACACATTAAATTTCAATATTTTTAATAGCCAATTGAAAACTTCTCGTTGTCAGTGTAGTTGAGGGTGCAATCGAATCTCATTAAACCAGAATTTCCGTTGTCGACCGAACAAATTGTATGAAAATTAAAATTAATACATCCGTACTATATCAATTACGGATACGTCATTATGAAAAGTGTACGTATTTGAGCAACTGTACTTTTTTGTTCGCGTCTATCGTCGTTAGCGATTTCAACCGGGTGGGGGGGGGGGATCAAGGCAGGTACATCGTTTTCGGGTTCGCATAAAGTGTAAACGGTTTTTTTGGATTTCTCAGGTCCGAAAATCGAATCAATAATCGAATTCGTTTCCGGAAATCCGTTTTGGACGCGTCTCGTTTCTCAACGTCGAGTGTAATTTTTTATTGCTGTATTATTGTGTCAATTGTCTAAACGCGCTTCAACGACTGCGCTGATGTCTGGACGTGTACATCACCGTTCGAAAAGCGATAGTCTTTTGCCGTTGTTTAGCCGCAAAAATAGAGAACCGAGGTCGACGCCAAGTCTGGTGGTGGGGGCAGAGGGGGGGGGAGGGGCGTAATAATAATAAAAATAATAACATCATTAAACACGGACTTTGGCTGTGCGCGTGAGCTATCTTCGCCGCTGCGCTGGTAGTAACGTGCGGACGACCGTTTGGAGTGGAAACAGCTTCGGACTTGACCGGATTTAATTAATCCGACTGTTATTACGGTGTTGTTTTTTTTTTTTTTTTCACAATTACTTAGGTTCGGGACGTTCAAAAAGTCATTCCGAGTCGCGGCCAACCGTTAAAAATTACCTAACGTACAACAACAGTGGGGAAATGCGGTTCGACGGGTCACGTGGGTTTTCCATAGAAGAAGGTAAATTTTACTACGATTTCGAGTCGACTAATATGATAAATAACAAAACATATTACCCGAGCGATGATTTTCGTACATTTGTCGTTTCACTGTAAATATTCTAATAGCATAATAAACTACCCAAAATCCAAAATAGGTGTATAGGCGTACGAAGTAAGTGGGCATTCGATTTAAATTAATATTTTTTTTTACAAGCGTATAGTCCCGCACAACTACATTACAACTGATGTTTGAAAAATATGCGATTTTTTAATAAATTGTCGTCAGTTTTTTTTTTTTTTTTGACACATTTATAATTTAAATAAAATGATTTTGTATTGAAAGGTACAGGTATGTTTTTTGTCAAGGAAATATATAATGTATATAATCAGACAAGAGGTTAACGAAGACGTGTTGTCTAATAAAACACCATCAAATTTGTTTATAACATTTGTTTGTCATTTCCCCACATACATGTAACACCGGGCTTGGTAATAAATGCATTAAAAAAAATATAGGAGCTGGTATTTTGAAATAAAAAACCTTTTTGGAAAATAAAAAACAAATTAGCATTTTTATTTTGCATTTCTAACATATATAATTTACGGTTTTTCATTATTAATCAAGATTTAAGCATATTAAACCATTTTTAGGTCATCAATTAATCGTTTTAAAAGACATTGTTAAAAATTTTCATGTCAATTTCCATTTCCTAATAATGTAAATACAACAATTAGTTTAAGAATATGTCAGTTTTTATTAACCAATATTTTCAGTTTTAACACCCGTGTCGTCCAGTTGAAAACCACTAAAAATATGACACGTCATGTTTAATATACAATTCTTTGTATGTTTTGGCTGAATCTGTAAAATATTGAAGTTTTATAAAAATTATTAAAATATAAATAAGCAATAAATTCCATTTGCTATTTTTACGTATTGGCAGACCTAAGCGGGAATTCTTTTATTATTCACACAAGTCGGTCGTAATGCCATCAAATTTGTCGGTTTTCGTCGAATTGTAGAAGTCTTGTAGAATATTCGTTAACCTCTGGTCGTACCTACACTTGTAAGTATAGGATTTTTTTTTTTGTCTCAAGTTGAAGTTTTGTTTGCTCGTTTAACGAGGTACAGTAATTATTTGAAACCGTTTTAATTGTAATGGATTTTCATGACCTGTTAAAATAATATTAAATATATTCGTTAAAAAAACTGTCTGCCTTACAACCATTTTTTTTAAAAAAACTACAAAATTGATCGTTTACCGGGTGTCCAAGCACAAATCTTGGTTTACACGAACATATATTTTATATTATATATAACATAAAAATCTTCACAATGAATTAATGTTGTAACCTCCGTGTAAAACAATATGAGTTATTACACCATTGCATGTGACTTTGCTAATAATTTAATGTTGTATTGCTTGTATGACACGTTAAGCCATTCATTAACGTCGAGTCCAAAGGTTTTTATGAACTCATATCAATCTTAAAGTTAAACATAATTCAACAATTGTGTAAGGTCGACGTCGACAAAAATGTTGCAAGTCTTATACGCTGTATCGGTTTCTGCAATACAGACAACGGTTTCAAGTTTTAACATCAATGTCATCAATGGGTCATGATTATGACCCAAAGGAATAAAACTTATTGAAAAAAAGTTAGTATAAGAATGAACTTAAACATAGTATAATAAGACATAATAATTATGTACTTTGAATAAAGAATATAAAAAGTCCAATTTCGGGCTTTGGAAAAAATAAACTATTTTCATTAAAATTAAAGCACCTTTTTTTACTGTACAAGAAATGGCACTTTCACGTCGAAAATGTTGTGAAACTTTATAGTTAATTTTTCAAAAGTTTTCGATTTTTAAGAGATTGGAGAATTTCCCATGTTTGATTGACCAGCCAAGTGTCACCAGTTGAAGTTTATAATAAAAAGGGTGATAAACTTTTGATACCTACACATTTTTCTACCGGATTATTTACTTATATTAATTATTACCGAGTGCATAATATATAATATTATCGTATGATGAAAATTATTTTAATTCGACAGTCACATACACAAGTGTGTGAAATAATTAAAAAACTTAGATGGAGTTTTGCGTTTTTGGAACAAAGACAATGGGTATTCGTTGTCTTTGCAGCAAAGACTGTCTTTGCGCTGTGGTTGTTACAAAAAGTTTGTTAATATTACAGCAAACTGTAATGATATACTACGATGCAGCGAATCTGCGAGTGTTATCACACGCCGTTAATACCACTTTTTGGCAATCTATACAAAATATATTTTGGAAAAGCTTTGAAAACTTTGACTCGTGTTACAATCGGAATGGACCGAACGTATTGCGCGTTTATCGATTGCTCGAAACGCGTTCCAATTATTTGTCGGCTATTAATAATAATAACATTATTGTTGCTATTATTATTATTATCATTATCGAGACGATTATCCGACCGTGTAAAAACGCATCGGTGGCCAAAAAAACGTCAGACGGGTGTGACAACGCTTTTAAATCCATACAGCACACCTCTTGACGGAGTAAATAATCATATTATTAACAGAGATCAAAACACTCGCTATGGGAAATCGTTGGGGTCGAAAACAACGTGAACGCGATTCCGACGATTTGTTTTTCGTTTAGAATTTAAAGTTGGAAGCTGTTTGAAATGTGGCTCAAGGTCTCCGAAGATTTCGCTATGCGCCTACAGCTCTAGTGATTCTGTAAACATCCTGACGGGTCTGACATTACTCGGCCAACAGAGTCATTAACGATGGCAGCCGCACGTCAGTGGCAAAAACAAACGTGTAGTGTGATTTATAATATTATAAAATATGCTAAACGAGAGAAACAAACATGCTTGAAGGATTGGCCTGTTAAAAAAAACAAAATCGAATACCTATTGAACAAAGGCGCCCACGGGGAGGGGCAACTCCCTTCGTAGCTTCTCTGAAAGCTAAAAAAATGTATATCCAATATCCCAAATTTGTAAAATCGATTACAAAATCATAGGCAGCCCCCCCCCCTGAATTTTCACCTGCGGGCGCCCTTGCTATTGATTTCAAATTAAGTTCAAAATATACATACCTTAAGCTTATACATTACTTTGTAATTTTTTTTCTCTTAAGCACACACAACTTTAGACAAATCTTATTTTATAAAACACAATAGGTAATTTACGGAAAACACTTGATTGAATTTAGCAAGAAAAATTGTATTATAATATTTATATGCGGTTTTGTTGAAAAACCTTAGCTACCTATACAGTTAAGAAAGGAGTGAGAGAGATAAACCACTTCGTTTCGGCCACACGTATAGTGTGTATTGGGAGATGCACATTTTTGGAAAACAATTTAAGACTATGAGTAAAACAACCAAGTTGAAAGGTTGGATAGAATTTTTGCCTAAAAAAATGTTATCGAAACAAGTCTATGGAAATACTATGTAGATAAATTCTTTATGTTTGTTCATACTCAAAGACTGAAATCCTAAACTTTTGTAGGGTAGAAAACTGTAGAAAACTATACGTTTTCCTTTCTGGTATTATCATTTAATATTAAGGCGCCTGTAGAAAAAAAAACACATTATAATCTAAATTATATCGAATTAACGTGAAGTACATTTTTAAACGAGTCGGCTATATTTATCAACGTAATCGCACCAATCTAACAAACGAGACTTGTATATTCGATGAAAAAACAGTCGCCATTAATCTTAGTAATGAACACTAATCGGCACCACAGCGAAAACAATATTTATAAGTTCAGTTACTGACAAACCCGATAGAATCCATTTTGTGGGTTTTCGAAGGAGGTACACTGTGCTTGTTTTACAGTAAAATTGTTAAAGTTCATGTACTATATACCTTACCTATACGGCTATACCAAAATGAAAGGGTTGCAAAAACGTTCATTAAAGGTTTAACGAATCAACAGATGTTTTTAGTGGCCCGTGATTGGTCCGTTAAATGTATTAACTATTTATGCAACTCTGGAATAATATAATCTCAACCCTATATAGTTAATTTGGATCTCAAAAATATGGAAAGACCTCAGCAATATGTTTACCCGCACCAATACAGAGTATTCTGTTCCGGCTTGTGATCAATAACATATACTTAATATACTTAATATTATACTATACTTTATATTTTACCTATTAGTTTGCAGTAATTATGGTGTAGTGTATTTAATTTAATAACCCTAATGAATAGTGGACGAGCTTTGCCGACGTCCGGGCTTATATTATAATTAATAACATGCCGGTTTTGGCGGAGGTTTATTCATTATTTATGTTTTCACCGCATAAATATTACACGAGTGGGCGTGTGAGCAAGCTCTTTTTTTATGTGCTAAGTAATAAGCTGTAAGCACGAAAACCGGTAATAGCTGATCGAGCTGAAAATTGATTTTATTAATAGTTTTTTTTTCGTACCAATTTATTTACTGGCCGTTTTCTTACACTCTGTTGCATCAAGTACCGCCGAGTCAATGTTTTAAACATTTTTTTTTTTTATTACAAAATTTTCAAATCGATAGAATAAACGCTATGCGCATTACACCGCATTTTCTACCAAATTGATTTAACCAAAAAGTCTTATCACAAAATCTCATGCACTCAATTCTTCTTCGGGCCAGACTTTTCGTAATGAGTCGTTTTGTTTTGCCAAAAAAAAAAAAAAGTATATATTTTAAATTGCCTTGAGCCGTTTGTCAACATACATTCAGATTATTCCGTCCGTTTTTCATCACCAACCTAATTGCGTCGTCAACACTTGTGGAATGCTTGCAAAAAAATAACAACTCAGCGAGTTACATCTGGTATAATTACATTTTTAATCCTAATTTATATGATATTAAAAAAACAATTATTTTTTAATCATCATTATTACGGCTATAATACGCCGTGCAAAGATGTATGCGTGCAAAGACATAATAATATCAGAACACAGTAACAACATGAAACTCATATTGCAAAAAAAAGTGCGACTACATATTTTTGAACAAATTGTA